CTGAAGCCACGGAAAACGGCATTCTCCCAAAAAAGCTGATTCCATAGCAAAGTTGACGAAGCATCGCTACACGAAAGCGATTTGCACGAGACTGCACAACTTCTGCTCCTCGCAGATATAGGTAACCTGGAAGCTACAGCACACTGACACAGAAACCGTTCCCAGTGTCACCTGTGACGAAGTAAAGAGAATAATCAAGAATGTCAATAGTGGCAGATGTTCTGGTATGGGCAGCATAAACCCGGAACATTTCAAGTCTGGAGGAATGTCTCTGTTCAGTGCCACTGCCGAAAGGTTTGCAGAGTAATAAGACTGAAAAGACGTCAGAAGCACGGAGGAGTCTTTCGGAGATTCTTCTATTCAAAAAAGGTGATACTGAAGGCCTCTAGAACTATCAATCCATCCATCTCCTGTCAGAAGTCAACAAAAGTCTTTACGCGAATCATTCTAAGCCGTATCCGGCAAGATCTGTAACTACTCACTAGTAAAGAACAAGCCGGTTTCCGAACATAGTTTCTTACCATAGACCGCATTCAAATCGTGAAGCAGTTAAAAGAAAAAGGCAAGGAATACCAATTCCCCTTTACTACTCATTCATCGACTTCGACGTTTAATTACATCGAGGTGAACGCTATACTGAACGCCTTGCACGACAGCGTTATTAAATTTGTCTACGTAGACATTATCGAGGAAGTGAGTACTGATACCGCAACCGACTTCAAGCTGTTCGAGGAACCGTATCGAATCGGCACTAGACGAGGAGTAGGTAGAAGAAACAACATCTCTCCTAAGCTTTCCGCGACGGTACTGGAATCTGTTTTTAACCGTCTGAACTGATACAGAGGCATTAACTTCGACCGAAAACCCGTATTGCAACGGTCAACGACAAACGGCGGTAACGAGGCAGAGGCAATCGGACGCCGCCCACCCCGCACATCACCGGAAACGCTGAGCGAAGAAAAGGCAAGTTCTCTCCCCACAAAGAATCGGAAACGTAGGCTGAACAAACGAGAGAGCGCTCGACATTCGATCGCAACAAAATGTATGCGTACCTTGCACCAGAAGGTCAACACGGATTGTACCTCGATGACGAACAAATAATCCGCAAGTGTATAAAAAGACCGGTCCGCTTTGTACGGGGGAATAGAGATAATTATACAGATATGGAGTATTGTTTTGTACTCTGAAGACGGACAGAACTTGATCCGAAACGTCAGATGTTCCTAATTAAACAACATTTTGTGCGTTGTCTTCCCGTTTGTGACTTACCAAAAGATTATATCACAGCAAGCATAAAGAAGTCATGTACGTTTTTCGATATGGTGTATTATGATATCTCGTGTGGGCGGTTGTTGCCTTTAGTATATGCGCTGTGCTTGCTAGTAAAGCCTTGTGACAGGTTCCGCGTCCTGTTTGTCAACAGCCTCCGTCCGGTTGCAATATGATCTTTGCGCAAAACATCATTTAACGGAACTCGAAACAAAGACTGGACAATGGCAAAGGGAATTTCCCGCTACCGGTCTGTGAAGATCGAGACTGGGATGAACATCTATAAGACGAAACGGATGCGCAACGAGTACTGCCCTCTAGATACTATCTTCCCTGGCGGTGAAGAAGTAGAAAAAATTGCTAGTTACGCATAACTCGATCAAAAAATAGACTCCAATAATAGCATCAACGACGAGAACAGCAGAAGAGGGAGGAGAATAAGAAATACGACGGCATAGGTAAGTTTCCATCATCAAAATATCGCTGCTGGATAACGAGCTACCCATGTTCACGGAAAGAGAACTGCTTGACTCCGCAATTTAACCTGACATGATTTATGGCGCGAAGTTCTGCTAAGGCTGAATTAAAGTAACCGTTTGTATGGCAAATGGCGATGAAAGGTAGAATATATTAGGTCCCCTTTGAGATCATGTTTCAGGTGCAATGGTTCAATGTTGAACACGATTTTTGGATGTACTCACTGCCGCTTACACCTCGAAGAAAAGATGGCCTGACAATTTGATTTGTCTAAAGCACAACAGAAGAAAATCCAGAGTTACAGACTGGATCCCTGGAGCAACAGACGTCTGCTCGCTCGGACGACCAAATGAAAAAACTGTTTTGTTAACAGTGAAAGAAAATAATACAGCGACGAGAAGAGTGGCGGAACGTCGAATTGCTTCTGTGGCCGAGGACGAAAACAAGTCAAGCAGAAGGAGAGAAAGACCGTCATATAACGATTTATCATTTTCGTTTGTTATAGTCGCATTTTATACCGTCGCAGTGAAAAATGTTTATTATTTTTTACCGATTTTGTTGTTAAATCAACAATGAAAACATTCGCCAAGAAAACAGTAATTACAATAATTTTACTTACTGCACGATTTGCTTCCAGGCGCAATCATGTTCACAGCCTGGTCACAACGCAGGTCCCAGAAGCGAATGGTTTTATCCTGGGAACAGCTGACGAATATGCATCCGCCCCAAGTGTACAGACCGAGCACCGGTGCGGTGTGGCCAGTGAGTTCGCGGATGCTCGTCCCACTGGCGCA